TGAGTTCTAGTCCCGCCTTAGGCATGAAAGCCAGCTGGGTGAACTTAGGCCAATCACCAGGAGCCTGTGAGTTCTAGTCCTGCCTTAGGTATGAAAGTTAGCTGGGTGCCTTTAGGCCAATCACCAGGAGCCTGTGAGTTCTAGTCCCGCCTTAGGAATGAAAGCCAGCTGGATGATTTTAGGCCAGTCAATCTCTCTCAGCCTACTATGTCAAGCTGGTTGGTCAATTCCTTTCATAACCAGTGGATCAACACTCTTTGGAAAATGCTAGGAAGAAGAATGAACCGCAGTCCAGCTATGGATGATTATGCTACCTTCCGACATTAAAAAAAAAAAAAGTGATGTAATTTCAACTTCAGCCAGCAATTTCCCAGGAATGAACTCTTACCACTAACGGGACGTCCTGGGGGCCTGGGCCGCGGAGAGATGCTGTGGGTCTCCCCTTCAGCCCCATCGACTATGGGACGACCAAAGATCACTTCCAGTTCCTTGCCATCGGGCGGGGGGATGGGGTACCGTCCGATTGACAGCTCCACCAGGGAGAGGCCCATGCTCCAGATGTCCGACTGAACGGAATAATGAGTGCCTTGTAGACGTTCAGGCTGCAAGCAACAGCAACAGAGGTGGGTGAGTGCCCATCTTGCATAAACACACCTGCCAATCCCAGTGGCTCCTTCAACAGCCAGGTGTCTGCGGGTACACACCTGTGTCAGAAATTTATGGCAAGCCAGCAAAGAGGTTTTCCCTGTCTGGATAGATGCTCAGTTAATTACCAGAGGAGATCTTCAGAAGACAGGCTAAGAGAGGTATAATAATCTACCTAGGGGACTTTTGCTTACTGGGTCATATGCAAATAAATTTTAAAAAGCAGAAAATACAGTTGTGCAGTTAACAGAGAACATAAGGTACCTTCCTTTGGCTGCAGTTGCAAAAAGCTGTGCTACCTTTGTTGTCACAACAGACTGGGAACTGAAACCACTGACGCTTAATGCTATGATTGATGATTTAATTTATAGGATGCATCAGCTCCTAAATGACTTGCTTTTGCTTCCTAGGGTTTGAAAGAAAAACTCTGGTTTTAAACCATCTTTTAAACCCAGACTGGATGGAGGGGGCAAACACTCCAGCTGATAGGTTGATGACTTCCCAGAAAGACAGATTTATATTAATATAAAACAGCAACATGCTTTTTTTAAAGGGCTGGGATCAAAATTAATATTCCAACTATCGCTATCTTGATGCTACATCGGCTTTAATACCTGCCTAGCTGGTAATCTAGTTGTTACGCAACTTCCCTTGACAAACACACCAGTCCAGTTAGGCGTAGGAAGTACAGAGCGCAGAGGTGCGGGACAATCCTGGGGTGTCACATGTTAACACCTCTGTTGTGTGAGTTGAATTGGTTGCCAGTTTGCTTCCGGGTCCAATTCAAGATGTCGTCTCTTATCTTCAAAGCTCTTTATGGCAGTGGGTTCAAGTAAGAGGTGGCATTCAGCAGGTTCTGACCAGTTCTGGAGATCCAGTAGCGGAAAATTTGAGTAGTTTGGAGAACCGGCAAATACCACCTCTTGACTGGCCCCACCAATCCCATCTATTCTCTGCCTCGCATTGAGTCCCAGCTGATTGGCTGGGTCTTCTTTGGTTGCCCTGCACAGGAGAACGGAGCTGGAAAGCAGGTTAGTGGGGTGGGGAGGGAATAGATTTTGCAGCGTCCTTCCCTGCCACGCCCACGGAACTGGTAGTAAACTTTTTTGAATCCCACCACTGGCAAGGCATCTCGGGAGCCTTGTCACCCCAATGGGACCAGCCTCTCCTGCTGACATCAGCAGAAGAGACATTCTTTGGATCTTGTCTGACAAAAAGGATTTCAGCTGGTGGGGTCCAGGGGAAGAGCCTTTTCCGCTGTGGCCCCCACCCTCTGGAATATTCTCTCTGTTGGAGTCAGGCCCATAATCCTGGCTTTCTTTCTGGAAGAGTCTGAAAACCCGGATCTGCCAGCTGGTCTGGGGCCCCAACAGGAGAGCACTATGCTGGGGCCGGCTAATGGGCTGGAGAGATTCCTCACCCCCCTCATGTCACCTGTCCTCATGGTTTTTCGTCTCTTAAAACCTTTAAACCCCCTAATTTTAACCGCTTTGTATCATCATTTGTAACTACCGACCATGCCGCAAGCCGCCCAGAGTCACTTAACAGTGAGATAGGTGGCATAGAAATTTAATACATAAATTAAAAAAAAAAAAAAAACAGGATGTAACACCGGGATCCCAACTTCAACTTGTGATCCAATAAAGACTGGGCTTTTGCTCCCCACTTGGTTCCTGCTGAACAAACCAATCTAAAAAGATCCATTCATGCTAAGTATACTGTGTTAGGTTTGTACTTTGGTTCTCCTCTTCCTTTAACCGAAAAGAATTGGAAGTCAGATTCTCTATTTCGTGCTTATAGAGAGAGAAGATTCTTTCCTTTTTAAGGTCTATGGAAATTCTCAATCACCCAGATTAGTTTTTCCAAGGGATTTTTTCGCCCCCCAAAGGAGCCCTGGTGGCGCAGTGGTTAGAATGCAGCATTGCAGGTTGACTCTGCCCACTGCCAGCAATTCGATCCTGACTGGCTCAAGACTGACTCAGCCTTCCGTCCTTCCAAGGTCGGTAAAAGGAGGAGCCAGATTGTTGGAAGCAAAATGCTAACTCTCTCAACCGCTTAGAGAGGGCTGTAAAGCAGTATATAAGTGAAGCGGTATATAAGTCTAAGTGCTACTGCTACCTATAATCTATCATGTCTTTCTCTGCCTTCTATCTACAATAGCTATTTATTGCTGTGTCTGTTTGTCTATCTATCTAGCTATCCATCCACCCAGTCTGTCTATATTATCAGTCTGTCTATATTATCAGTCTGTCTATATTATCAGTCTGTCTATATTGTCTACATTCTGCCTGCCTGCTTGCCTACCTACCTACAATCCCCCTCTCTCTGTTTCTCAGTAACTCTGGTGGTGCAGCAGTTAAGAATGCTGTATTGCAGGCTAACTCTGCTGACTACCATCCTGATCGACTCAAGATTGTCTTAGCATTCTGTCCTTTCGAGGACGGTAAAATGAGGACCCAAATGGTTGGGGGCAGTACGCTGACTCTGTAAATTGCTTGAAGAAAGCTATAAATCCCCATGAAGCGGGATATAAGTCTAAGTGCTATTGCTAAAAGGCAACTGGGCTTTGTTTTCTGTGAAAACATTTCGCTTCTTATCCAACAAGCTTCTTCAGTTCTAACGCTTCTCAGGAGTCGGAATCTCAGGGGAAGCAACTGAATGGCTTGCACGCTCAGTCAGAATTGTAAAGAATTCAGGTTTTGTAGCCCACTGCTTTAATTTAGCTGTTGATATGGAATTGTTGTGTCTCATACGAATGCTTGAGCTTCCTCTACACCAGACAGGATTAAGGAAAGGCTTGGAGTGGAACAGTATCTGCCAGAAAAATGAAGGCATTCATAGCCCAAAGAAACTGATTTCAGAAAAGAAACTTTTTTTCAGAAAGAAACTGATCCAGCTTAAAGGAAGAAACCGTTTAAGGCATTGTTCCCAACCTTGGGGACTTTAAGATGTGAGGACTTCAACTCCCAGAATTCTAGGAGTTGAAGTAGTCCTCATATCTTAGGTTGGGAAAACACCGGTTTAAGGTGACATAGCTGCAACATAGCACAAGCCCATCCTGAGAGAGGTTGAAGTTAGGCAATCTTCATTACAACACCCCCACACCAGCTGTCATATGGTACCAATCCCTCCTCACAGGACGTGTCCTAACTCCTGTTTTTAAAAACCTTCAGAAAGGAGGAGGACGTACAGACATATAGGACCGGGTGCCCACGAAGGAATTGGCCATGGAGTCGATGAGCTGCCCGCTGACTCCAAAATCACACAGCTTAATCTCACCTCGAGAATTCACCAGGATGTTAGAAGGCTTCACGTCTGTAAATGAAAAACTGTTTTGAGAGACGAAGAGGGGAGGGAAAAAAAACCCCGCAAACACACAAACGAAACACTGAAAAGGAACTCCACTTGGAGACTGTTCTAGATAAAAGCTCTATGGTTTCTCCCACCTAATGAAGACAGGAAAGAACCCTGCAAGGGGTCAATTATCGCGCTAGACCATAAAACAATTTTGGACAGATCAGCATGGCTGGCTGGGGAATTCTGGGAGCTGAAGTCCACCTATCTTAAAGCTGCTCAGGTTAAAAAAACTCAGTTAGATGGCAAACAATTAATAAACTATTAATATTAATAAACCAGTAAATATAGGTAGTCCTCAACTTACTAACCATTTGTGTAGTTCCTGTTCAAAGTCACAACAGCACTGAAAAAGTGTCTTGGGGTTCTTTTTCACACTTACAACCATTGCATCGTATCCAGTCATATGACAGCAATGGAAATTTTGGGGTCAATTGTGGTCATAAATCAAGGACTACCTGTATTCTCAAGGGCCGTACTGTGGGTCCAATTAACCTGTGACTTTAGGCTGATTTCACGCCAGCCTAAATGTTGTCCATCCCCTGGGCAATTCTTCAGAAATCATCTTGCGATCCCTTTCCCCTCTGTGTATGGTCCCCCCACCCCCACCCCCCCACAAAAAAAACCCTCTTCTGAGACTCGGGAAACTCGCCATGGAAACGACCCGCCTGCCCAAATTCTCCTTCCATTGCTGGGAAGCAAAATTTAAAAGCCTTAAAACTGCAAGTGATTAATTTTAGAATTAACCGGGAAGGGCTTTTCTTGGTGAACCAGAAAAATGTCCCTAGTTCTGACATGAACACAAAGGTGACAGAAGAGGCTGCCCTCAAGAGCAACTGCCAACAAGAAGCCATGGTCTGTATAAGTGCTGTGCGATATAAAACACAATTTCCAGATTTTTTGCAACCCCAACAAGGTTGCAAAAACCCATAAACCAGGCAGCGCACCATAGAGCCACAAGATAGATAGATAGATAGATAGATAGATAGATAGATAGATAGATAGA